ATGTTTTAAAATTAAGAAAGGTGTGAAACATGGTTGTATTCTTTCACCATACTTATTCAACCTGTATGCTGAGCAAATAATCTGAGATGCTGGGTTATACGAAGAAAAACGTGGCATCAGGATTGGAGGAAGACTCATTAACAACCTGCGATATGCACATGATAACGACCTTGCTTGCAGAAAGTGAAGAGGAGTTAAAATACTTAACTGATGAAGATCAAAGAGCACAGCCTTCAGTATGGATTACATCTCAATGTCAAGAAAACAAAAATCCTCACCACTGGACCAATAAACAACATTCTTATCAACGGAGAAAAGATTGAAGCTGTCAAGGACTTACTTCTTGGATCAACCATCAACACTCATGGAAGCAGCAGTCAGGAAATCAAACAACATATTGCATTAGGCAAATCTGCTGCACAAGACCTTTCTAAAGTGCTGAAGAGCAAAGATGTCTGCTTGAGGACTCAGGTGAGCCTGACCCAAGCCATGGTATTTTCAATAACCTCATATACATGTGAAAGCTGGACAGTGAATAAGGAAGACCATAGAAGAATTGATGCTTTTGAGTAATGGTGTTAGAGGAGAATATTGAAAGTGCCATGGGATGCCAAAAGAACCAATAGATCCGTGTTGGAAGAGGTGCAGCCAGAGTGCACTTTGGAGGCCAGGATGGCCAAACTTCATCTCTCAAATTTCAGACATATTGTCAGGAGAGACCAGTTGCTGGAGGAGAATATGTTTGGTAAGGTGGATGGTCAGAAAAAAAGAGGAAGACCCCCAGTGACATGGATTGGCAAAGTAGCAGCATCAATAGACTCAAGTGTGGCAACAATTGTGAGGTTGTCCAGGATCTGGCAGTGTTTCATTCAGTTGTGCATAGGGTCACTATGAGTTGGTACCAACTTGATGGCGCCTAACAACATCAACAAAGCAAGGACATCAGCAGAAGGGGCAAAAACTAATTAATTCCACAATTTCTCTTTAAATATCCAGTATCCTATATGGAAATCATACTTAAATATAAAATGTATGGTTACTGTTTCAGCTTGTAGAGTTAAACATAATTGGGGTTTTAAATGTACAGAAACTGAGCTAGGTGTTAAACCATGGAGACATTTCTGCAGACAAAGACTAAGAGAATGTTTTCCACAAATAATTTTCTAGTTGATGTCAGTCATGGCTTGAAGAATATACAAAGACGCCTGAAATTTGATTTTCAGAAGACTTTCTATATGTTTAGTATAAAATGCAGACAGAAAAGAAATGATGCTCATGGTTTAAATTTTAATGGGAAGTATATTTTTGTATTTTTATTTGCCTCAAATTCTCATGAGTAATGTAATCAGTTCACCTCATTTCTTCTATTACTATTTAAGGAATAAATGGCTAATATTAATAAAGAAAATATGTATTACAAGACAAAGTATATGACCATTGCAATGTATTTCTTTTACAAAAATACTTCAAAAAGCTCATGGAAAAATGGACTTAACGATAATGGAATTTTCCCACAAACTATCTGAAATCCCCTAGTATATGTTTGGAGTCCTGGTGTGTCTCTGCAGAGTAATGTGCTGCACTGCAAGGTTGTTTGAATTGCAAGGTCGGTGGTTCAAGCTCACCAGCTGCTCCTAGGAAACACCTTGTACAGGGTCGCTCTGAGTCGGAACCCACTTGTCTGTACTTAACAACAGTATATGTGTGGTAGTATTTCATTTATATTTATTATGCCAGCCTCTCTACTTTATAAAATGGATAAAATTTTAAATTAGGCTTCTCTTTTATTTAATCAGAAATAGTGCCAAATCTGGAAATAAAATCAGACATGTTGATTTTTTTCTTTTAAGGGATATTGTTAAATCCTTTCACCATGTATTCCTTACTCTTCTCCAACAGTTGCAGTTTACTTTGTTCCTGAAACATCTGGAAAACAATTTGCCCTGTACATTGTAGCCTTAATTTGAAATATAACCCCTATGCCAATGTAATAGAATTATTTAAGATTGGAAATTCACTAGATTTTCTTTTTCTCTTTCCCAACCCCCTTGAGCTATGAGATAATTAACAAGGAATGTAGTTTTAAGGATTAGTGTAAATGATCAACAAGGGTAGGTAATTATAATTATTGTTCAGTAGGTAAAAAAATTTGAGATTAGGTTTGTTTGGCAAATGCATATGTGTGTATTCATGTGCATATGTACATGTATCTTGTTGTTGTTAAGTCCTGTCAAGTCCGCTCCAACCCATAATGACCCTGTATAGGTTTTCTTAGGAGCAGCTGGTGAGCTTGACACTGGTATGAAAAGGGACAATACATGAATATGGATTATAAATTGAAAATCAAATTAAAAAGTGAAATTTGCTTAACATATCACATACCTGCTACTGTCGTCTTTCTACTTCATCTCAAAGGGTAAGCTTGTTTATTTCCAGATTTGTAAATTCCCAAGTTCCTGCTGTATGAATGCCTCAGAGTTTGCATCTTTGTCAATAGCTATCCTAAAAGCTTAGCAACAGAGTGTATTGGAGGAACAGAGAATGGTGCAGTAGTATGTATTTTTTCAAGTAATACGGACTTCCACCTTCATTACTTGTGAGTTCGGACATTAAAAATTTTTTTTTCCTGTTGTTAAAAGATATATTCTATCTTGTTCTTAGGAATATTTTAGTTGAAAATGGAAACTTAAAATGATTACTAAGAAAAGAAATGTCTTTTATTTATAAAGTCCCTTTCTTTGAATTTCTGAAGATCATTTGTTTGGAGCTATAACAGACTAAGTAAGAATTCTATCCCAGATTCCAAACGGCTTTAATTGATTTGGTTTGAATCTGTTCATGTTCACTCACTCTTGCTTACTTTTTCATCTTCCTCCCAACCCCCTTCATTTGTTTTTAATGAAATCCATTCCTGTAGGGAGGCAATGAATAGATATGATTTTCCCTATATGTTGTTGTTGTTAAGTTCCATTAAGTTGATTCTGGTTCATGGTGACCCTTTATAGGGTTTCCAAAGAGCAGCTGGTTGATTTGAACCACTGATCTTGTGGTTGACAGTGCAATCCTTACCCTGTAGCACCTTACCACGGGTCCAGGAGCACATTTGCCTGAGATTCAACATTCAATCATGTAGCAGCACACACAAGTACTCATATTTATATTCCATTTCTACAAGCTATCATAATGTACCTTAAAATTTCTTATGAAAAAAGAATATTATTTATATACTTTGTTGTTGTTAAGTACTGTGGAGTCGGTTCTGACTCATAGTGACCCTGCACAGGGTTTCCAAGGCTGTAAATCTTTACGGGAACAGAATGCCTCATCTTTCTCCCGCGGAACCACTGGTAGTTTCGAACTGCCGACTTTGAGGTTAGCAGCCCGATTCGTAACCACTACACTACCAGAGCACCTTATTTATATACTAGTTTTAGAAATTGATTTAAAAAATAATGTTGGGAGGGTTTCATCTTTATTTTAATGTTACTTTATTTCCCTTTGTTTTCTTTCCTTTGTAAAATATTAGCTATTACTGAAAAGTTTGAAGGCTTATAAGAAAGGTATTAGAAGATTTAGGTTAGAGCTTTAATAGGCCACGAGCCATTTGTGCCTACAATTTGTAACATTTTATTGTTAACAACTCTAGAAGCAGAAGTCAGTCTATTTCAGAGGCGAGGACAGATTTCTGTCCATCTGTGCCTGTGTTGCAGCATGTCACTTGTACTTTAGATCTGCATAGCTGTGAGCCAATGTAGATGCCATGGCAAGGTCAAGAGGTGGAGAAGCCTGTCAGCACATTCTGTCTCTAACATAATGACAACTGCAAACTGGTGCTTCCAGCTCCGCCCTGAGGCAGTCATTCTGGTGGGTCTTAGAGCTGTGCTTTCCATAATATCATTTCAAAGGAAAATGTTAACTCTAAACATTTTGAAATATCAGACAAAGAACTTAATCTATTATGTGTCTTTGGTTAATGTCAGGTTCCTTATTAGGGTGACTTCTTGTGCAACATTTGAAAAATGTAGCAAATTCTATAGTGATTTTTTCTTTATTCCTTAATAACTTTATTGGAGTTGGGAAAGGACCTGATGGTGAAGATGGTTATGTGCCCATTTCGACTCATAGCAGCCCTGTACAGGGTTTCTGAGGCTGTAAATCTGTACTGGAGCATAAAGCTGCATCTTTCTCCTGCAGAGTGACTGGTAGATTGAGGCTGCTGACTTTGCAGTTAGCAACCCAATGAATAACCCACTACCCTCTCAGGGCTCCTTTGGGAGAGATCATGGTCCTTGTTAAATTTGATTTTAATGCTGAAAATAAGAATCTAGTAGGTAAAGACTAACTTTGTTGTTGCTAACTGCTATGGAGTTGGCCTTAGACTCATAGTGATGTCTTGCATATTGTTGTCATTGTTGAATCAGTTCTGACTCATAGTGTTCCTGGTAAGGGTTTCTGAGAGCAGCTGGTGAGTTTGAACTACCTATCTTGCTGTTACTGGTCTAGTGCTCATCCTACAGTGCCACACTGGGGCTCGATGCCTCACATAGAGGAATGAAATACTGCCTGCTCCTGTACACCATCCCCATGATCTGGTCCAGATTGGGTCATTGTAATTGATAGGGTTTTCATTTCTTGATCTTTCTAGAATACATCACCAGGCCTTTCTTCCTTGTTTGTCTATTGGTGAACTGAAACTAGTTTAGCATTCCTGACACTCGAGCAGTAGAGACCCATAAGGTGCATTGGCCAGGAATATTCTAAACTGGTGCATGTTAATATGCAATGCCCTGCTTCTTTTTTGGTATTCTGATATGATGCTTTAGATAAGCACTAGACCATAGGTCTGTTTAAATTTCCACGTCAGCAGTTCAAATCCTATATTGGGTCGCCAAAAGTTGGAACCAGCTCAACAGCATTTTTCAACCAACAACAGCTCCTTTATTGCAAAAGCTTAGTGTTTCAAATCTCTAAATGTGTGTTTTTTTTCTTTTTCTAAACAGTGCTTATCAGATTGTTGTGGAAGAGCTGCACCCTCACCGAACTAAGAGAGAAGCTGGGGCAATGGAATGCTACCAGGTTCCTATCACATACCAAAATGCCATGAGTGGGGGAGCACCATACTATTTTGCTGCAGAACTACCTCCAGGGAATCTACCTGAACCTGCCCCATTTACTGTGGGGGACAATAGGACATACCAGGGATTTTGGAACCCACCTCTGGCTCCACGCAAAGGGTATAACATCTATTTCCAGGCAATGAGCAGTGTGGAGAAGGTGAGTGCCCACTAAAATTTATTTCTAACTACTCAGTGGATAGACTAAAGACCCCCGGTGATGCTGTGGGTTAGACAGTGGACTGCCAACTGCAAGGTCTGTGGTTCAAAAGCGCTAGCCACTCCACTGGAGAGAGATGAGGCTGTCTATTTCTACAAGATTTACAATCTCAGAATCATATATAGGGTCCCTCTGAGTCAGCATCAAATCAATAGCAGTAGTTTTGATTTGAGGCTTTTTCTTTTTGAGAAAAGACTGGTGTCAAATTTTATAAATTCAGCAGCATTTTTTCTGAAGAAAGATGGTGTCGGGGATTTGTTTTTCTTCCCAGTTTTGAGCACACTCTAGTGCTGCAAAGGAGCCCTGGTTGAGCTATTGGTTAGGCATTGGGTAGGTAACTTCAAGGTCAGTGGTTCAAATATATTACTCACTCCATGGAAGAAAGATGAGACTATCTACTTCTGAAAAGATTTCCAGTTTGCATACGGATGTTCATCACAGAACTATTTACAATAGCAGAAAGATGGAGACAGCCTAAATGGCCATCAGTAGAAGAATGGATAAACAAACTGTGGTACATGCACACAATGGACTACTATTCAGTGTTGAAGAATAAAACTGAATATGCAAAACAGTTCATAACATGGATGAACCTAGAGGACATTATGCTGAGTGAAATTAGATAATTACAAAAGGACAAATATTGTATGAGATCACTTTTGTAAAAACTCAAAAGAAGTTTATAATTAAAATTAAAGGAAACATTCTTTGATGGCTACCAGGGTCCTGGTGTGGTACTGTGGGTTATTGTGCTGGGCTGAAAAGTCGGTTTAAACCACAAGGTTCAAGTTCACCAGCCACTCTTTGGAAACCATATACAGGGAATGGAGAGTAATTCACTGGCTAGAGGGTAGACATGCTAGCTTGGGTGATGGAGAAGGCAATAGTCAATATACATGAAGGGGGAGAGCAATATACAAGAAAAGGGAGGTTGGCAGAAGAATGATGAAGACAAGAGAAGATGCAGGGAGATACGCTAGAGCTAAAGGGGTTAGAGATAAATAATGATATATATGGGGGTTATGTTCCGTGGAGTCGGTTCCAACTCATAGCGACCCTGTACAGGGTTCCCGAGGCTGTAAATCTTTACAGGAGCAGAAAGCCTCATCTTTCTCCCATGGAACAGCTGGTAGTTTCGAACTGCTGACTTTAAGGTTCGCAGCCTGATTTGTAACCACTACACTACCAGAGCTCCTAATGATATATATATGTATCTCACAAATCATCTCACAAATACATGAGTTTGAAAGAGGGTATTGGTACATGGGTATTTACCTTTCCTGCAAACACAACTATGAATATGGTGGAGCCTAGAGTGGGCAAAATGATGAAGATTTCTTAGATATTATCAAACTTCATAAGGCAATGAGTTGCTGGGCCTGGGGGCTCAGGACCATAGGCTTAAGAGACACCATGGTTAGCTGGCATAACATAGTCCACAAAGACAATGTTCTATATCCTACTTGGGTGAGCAGCAAGTGGGATATTAAAAGCTCATGAGCAGCCATCTCAAGTGCAGCTATTGTTCTCTCTATGTGCAAAAGAAAGAAGAAAAATGAGACTCGGTATCAATTAATCCATCAGACTAATGGAACATGTCAGCATCAGTCTCCACAAGTCTGAGACCAGAAGACTTAGATGGTGCCCAGCTACCACTATCAATTGTTCTGAAAAGGATCAATTAAAAGGTCGCAGACCGAACAGCACTTACTAGTCAGAAAGAGACTGGAGGAATATGAGATTATGGCCCTTGCCCACTCTTCAGGCCTGGGAAGGAACTTAACCTCTTGGCTCAATTTTTAGCCAAGCAGTACGTAAGTGTATAGGGTAGGAAACAATACAAGTAAGTCATTCTCACAATAAATGATGGAACAGTCCATCATTCAAAATCAAAAGAGCAACATTTACTTAAGGACAAAGTTTAGAATGGATGGGAAGGTGGGTGGAATGGGAATAGGAACCACAGGGAGGAAGTGGGTAATTGTTACATGGAGGGAATTGCAGTCACTGAGATGAGACAAAGTGTACAATTGTTGAATGTAAAACTGATGATCTTTTCTGTAAGCATTCACTACATTCACAATGAAATGTTAAAAAAAAAAATTAGTTTACAGTCTCAGAAACCCTGTGTAGGCTCAGTACAAGTCACAATTGATTCAGTGGCACATGGTTTGGTTTTGGCTGTATTGCTGCAGCACTGAACGCACTCATTCGTCTGTGCCGAGAAATTAGGACAACTACCTGCCAACTGACTGAAATCATCCGTATTTGTGGCCATTCTAAAGAAAGATGATCCAACAGAATGTGAAAGTCAAACAATGTCATTAATACCACATACAAGTAAATTTTGTTGAAAGTAATTAAGAAATAATTGCATCAGAACATCGACAGGGAAATGCCAGAAATTCATGCCAGATTCAAAAGAGGACAATGGAAAGAGAGACAGCATTGGCTGAAAGCAGAGAATATAAGAAAGATGTTTTTCTTTGTTTCATTAACTATGCAAAGGCATTCTATTCTGTGGTTCATAAAACACATGTGGATAACATTGTGCAAGTGGATATTCCAAAACACTTAATGTACATAGACCATGAGGCAGTTGTTGGGATAGAGTGAGGGGATGCTATGTGATTTGTGAGAAGAAAGGAAGTGATTTGGGGTTGTATCCTTTCACAATACTTATTCATTCTGTATGCTGAGCAAATCATTTCAGAAGTTGTACTATATGAAGAAGGACATGGCATCAGAATTAGAGGAAGAATCAGTAACAGCCTGTAATATGCTGATGACACAATCTTGCTTGCTGCAAGTGAGGAGGACTAGCAGCTCTTCCTGATGAAGCTTAAAGACTACAGTCTTTAGTAGTTAATTACACCTCAACATACAGAAACCCCAAATCCTCATGACTAGACAGTAGGGAACATCATGATAAATGGAGAAAAGATTGAAGGTGTTAAGGATTTCATATTTCTTGGATCTACATCAGTGCCCTTGAAAACAACAGTCAAGAAATCAAACATATTTCATTGGAAAAAATCTATTGCAAATGACCCATTTAAAGCTTTTAAAAGCAAATCAAAGCTGTCACTTTGAGGATTAAGCCATGATATTTTCAGTTGCCTCATATTCATGAGAAAGCTGGATAATGAATAAAATGAAGACCAGAATATAATTGGTGCATTTGAATTATGGTATTATTTAAGAATACAAGATGTACCTTAGACCGTCGGAAGAATGAACAAATCTGTCTTGGAATAAGTACAGCCAGAAAGCTTGATAGAAGCAAGGGTGACAAGACTCCATATTATCAGGAAGAACCAATCCCTGGAGAAGGATCTCATGTTTAGAAAGTAGAAGGTCAGTGAAAAAGAGGAAGACCCACAATGGGCTGGATTTACACAGGGTCTACAGCAATGCATTCAAACATAGAAATAATTGTGAGGACAAGATAGTATTTCTTTTTTCGCTTTTTTGTACCTGGGGTCACTGTAAGTCAGAACTGACTCAGTGACACCTAACAACAGGCTTGCAGCTCAATGCCAGTTGCAGTTCATATGATTCGTGTTTTGGAGTAGCTGTTTTTACTTGAGCCTTCTTCAGGGAAGCCCACAATAGCAATTTTGAGTAAAATGATTGGGAAAAGTGGGTGCACTGCTGCCTTGCCACCACCCACGGTAAATATTAGGACTTGTTCTTGATTTTTTGCTCAGTAGTGGCACACTTCAAAAGATTAAATTTACTGTAGGATAAACAAAATGCGTGTTACACAGCAGGCTAATAAACCTTTCTAAACTTTTCAAGGGGTACAAGCCTAATAGTTAGTAACAAGTAACAATCCTCTGATTGCAAAGTAATAGATGTGCCTGTGGCACATCTGACAGACCCTAAATACAAGCCTGCCTAGAGGTGGCTGGATGCTGTGCCGTTAGAGAAGCTGGCTTTCCATTTCCCTGGCTGCCCCTCCCTTTCCCGTTTTGGACACAGCTGTTTTTGAACACTGCTGCTGATCCCAAATGAATATTGAAGAGAAAATCACAACAGGATGTTAGAAGCTACTACTGGTTCCATATATGGAGAAACAACCTGGCCTTTCACACCTCATGCTGTTCTCGTTGAGAAAATTTCTTTCCCTAAACTTATTTATTCGTTTATTTTTATTTTTTGTTATAGAGTGATGGGGGGGAAATTTTGAGAATAGAAACTTGATCAATTTAAAATCAATCGACGAATAACATTTGCAACACTTGTAACTAGAGCTCTGGTAGCACAGTGGGTTAGCGCTCAGCTACTAACCAGACAGTTGGTGGTTGGAAGCCACCAGCCGCTTTGATGGATAAATATGTGGCAGTCCGCTTTGCACAGATTGCAGCCTTGGATATCCTTTAGGACCATTCTACTCTATCCTGTAGGCTTGCAATGAGTCAGAATACACTTGATGGCACACAACAATAACAATTGTAGAGGAAATTGCAGGGTTTGAGTAATTGAGTCCCTGAAGTAGGAACCAAACAGATGATATGAATTTATGTTATATACTTGGATTGGTCATATTATATCTTAAAATACTCTGATTAGAAGATATTCATGAGAATCCATTTGCATTTCTATAGTAGCCATAGAACGTAGGATTTTGATTGACTATTTTCTGTTATCTTTCTGTGCACCTATGTGGTAAGCTCATCATATGGTGGTGGTGTTTATGTACCATGGAATCAGTTCCGACTCATAGCAACCCTGAACTCAGTTTCTGAGGCTGTCAATCCTTACAGGAGCAGAAAAAGCCTCATGTTCTCCCGTGGAACAGCTGGTAGTTTTGAACTGCTGACCTTGAGTTTAGAGGCCCTATTTGTAAGCACTGTGCTACCAAAGCTCAGAGTAAAGGGTAAAGAAAAGTGGTACAGGATCTTCTAAAGTGTAATCTGAAGCCAGACACTGCTCACAGTTGAAGTTGCTGTTCTCATCTAGTTTATTTCTGTTTAAGTTGGAGGCTGTAGAGGTGCCCGTTTCACACTTCCGTATCATTCTGCAGCACTAGTGCAATCTGGCACGCTGGTAACTATGTAACTAGATAGGAATGGAGCCCTGATAGCATGCTAGTTTAGCACTTAACTGCTAATCAGAAAGTTGATGATTTGCACCCATCAGCCACTTCGTGTGATAAAGATGTGGCAGTCTGCTTCATGAAGATTATATAAAAATTCATCTCACTGCTCAAAAATGAAACTAAAGAATTATTTTGTTCCAAGTCTAAAACAGCATAGGAGTAGGCATATAATTCTGTGTTTGGGTTTTTATCTTTAGAGAGGTGAGAGATTCCAAATTAACTTTTGTTATTTGGTCTATGCTATGAGAAGAGTGTTAATGAATGTTAGGTACTTATAAAGGATTCTTCTGGCAGCATTTAAACACTTTGATAAAAATTTTCTCTTCTAATTGCTAATATATCTATGCTGTCTTATAATCAAAGAACAGAGTTGCAACAATATATTTCACAGTTATCTTGACAAAGAGTTTTAAAATTATGCGGCCCCCACAAGCAAAGGCTAGTAATGCCAATATAGTTAACAGCTGTTGATTTTAGGAACTCTAAATCTCTCTGGGCATTTATTAGAATGTGAAATAGTCTCTTGCAGTTTACTGGACTGCTAACCACAAGGTTTGTGGTTCAAACCCACCAGTCAATCCTTGGAAACCCTTTACAAGGTCTCTATGAATCCCAACTGACTTGGTGGTATTTAACAGCAACAATATTGTATTATGAAGGGCCCTCGGGTGACAAGTAATAGAAATAGAAAATTTTATTTTTTTAACATAAGTGCTCAAATAAAATTTATAGACTTTTAGTTTGTCAGCATATAGTTGTTTTTGTTTAGTGCCATATAGTCAGTTTCAATTCGTAGCTATCTGATATAGGGTTTCCAAGGAAACACATTTGTTGTTGTTATTATTGGTAAGTGTTGAGTTGGTTCCAAGACATAGGGTCCCTGTATAGGGTTTCTTGATGAATTTGAACCATGAACCTTGCCATTCAAACCGACCTTGAGGTCCAGTGTTTAGCCCACAGTTTTTTTCAGGGAAAAAAACCACAAAAACTTTTTTTTAAGATAAGGGGAGATTGAGATACAATTGTGACAGAATGCTATGTTAAACAAATCTCAGGATATAACAAATTATTTTAATGATAGTTGAGATGATAATTTAACACATCCCTGTAACCTTCTGCCATGCTTCCTGACACCCCGTGTTCTGTGCCTTTGTTTGTCTTACCTGATAAAATTTGTTCTCCCTCTCTGCTGTTGGGTTGTTCTCCCTGTCTGCAATTTGGAATGTACCGCAGCATTTTACCTGGATATGTCTCCCTGTTTCGCCAAATCTTTTTCATCTTTGAATAAAACTACTGATTTTTATTTCCCTAAAAACAAAACAATACAACTCGAGATGGAGTTACAGATGTGTCTTGGCAACACATAGACCTGGCTTTGACATAGTTTCCAACCTCTTGTATATTCAAAAAGAAACATTAAGTGAACCATATTCTGGAGGAATGAGGTCAGGGTCTAAAAGTATCTAGCATAACATGTGCATTCTACTCTCTGTGTTCACTCCCAGAACATTGAAAAAAAAAAAGAAAGAAATTGAAAGAAAGAAGATTTGAAATAATTCTGTTCTCTCCTATTTCTGCTTCCTCTACCCCATCTGTCTGGCAAAAGGAGGAAAAGAATATACAACGAGAAACAATTTCTCTCTAAAAGTTAAATTATAAAAGAAAAATGGAAGAATTGGTGTAATTAATTATAACTGTGCTTCAACTATTATTTAGCTTTTTTAGGCTTGCTAGGATCCAAGTAAGAGCGTTTAATGCTTGGGTATGGTGTGAATTTACAAAGATGATGTTAAAATGAAATTAATTTTTACATCTGACTTATATCAACTTTGCAAATATATTTTCTGATAGTTCAAAAATTACAGTAGAAGCAGATAGAATACTCTCCTGCTTGTTCCAGAAAAGAGAGCCTTTTGCATTACAAGGTGAAAATGGTACCTACATCTCAGAAAAGACTGGGAAGTTTTTTATAGGCTTTTACTGTAGAGGTTTTGTCTCTCTCTGTGTATGTGGTTGTATTTAATCTCTCTGAGAACACACCTAAAAAATAAATTTTTTTAATGATAGATATCTATTCTTTGTGGTCTTATTTTCTGACCTCAGACTGGTCTTCATAAAAGTTATAATTCATGAAACAAGGATACATTCATTATCTGTATACTGACTGTTTTCTTGGATTTTTACACCAATAGGAAACCAAAACCCAGTGTGTACGAATTGCTACAAAAGGTAAGATGATTTTCTCTTCTTTATTTTTTTACATACTCCATTTTCTCCTTTCTAAAATGAAAGAGCTTTGTTCCTGTTTCTGGGCTAATTAAATGTGGCATTTCTATGACAGAGTATTTGTGGTAGGGCCCAGTACACTGCCAGCCAAGTCCTCAACCTCACTTGGGTGTCTTGAGCATATAATGGGGTGCTATATTCCATCCTCTACAACAAGAAGTACTTGAGTGGAGGAATATCATTATGAAAATAAGAAGGATTTAGGAAAACTTAAAAAGGCTTACTTCTGCCATTTACAGTCTGAAAAGTCTTGTACTATATCAGCTGATAAGGAAAAGCTCAGCAATATCAGCTCAAAATAGCGAGTTGCTTGTGTACAAGTCTCTGTTATTCTCCGTATTAGCCAACTAAACATAAAAAGAACCAAGGTAACTTATAAATATGTAGCAGCATATGTGTAAAGAATGGTCCATATCTTCATCAATAGCACAGTTTTATTAAAGAGGATGTGCTTGTTTTTTGGTTTTTGGTATTTTTTTTCCCCATGAAATTCGATCTGTGTTGCCAAAAAATTCGATCTGTGTTGGCTAGTGGCAAGGGCAACCCCTACTGACTGCATATTGTGGTTTACTTGTTTCTTTAAGAAGATAAAACATTTTTATCTTTGAGTGAGTACCAGTGTGCAGAGTAGGGGAATGGTCCACTGTATCAATCACTTAAAAGTTATTTTCTTGCATAAATAAGAGATAGAGAAAACTACGTGTTGTGGTCTAGCAAGAAAGAGCTTCATGCATGCTGACATGACCCACCTCAGAGGATTGATTCTCTGTGTGATTTGCTACCAGAATTAGCATTAGACCCACATCTATGAGCAGCAGTCAATTTGTTTGGACTAAAAATGAATGGCTATAATCTGTTTGTGCTGGCATTTTTCCTGCTATCATTTTTCTCCATCTAATCATCAATCTGCTCAACTAAGCATTTGTGTTTTTGTAAAGGCAATAAAGACAGACTGGTTTTCTTTAACTCATGAGAAGTAATAAAGGGATTTGACAGGAAAGAAAAAACACTTTTTAGTTCCTATAGTAAGATCTCTTAATGATAGCTAAAAGAGGAAAGCAAACTAAGGTAAATTTAAAAAGGGAAAGAAAAAGCATGGAAATGCATACATTGAATAAGCATTTATCTTTAAAAATTTAGCTTATGGATCAAGAGTTAAGAATTGAAATTTTTAGAAGCTACTCATAGAAGACATTTTGGTGCATAGAAAATAGATCTAGAAATATAAAAGCATCTTGCATCAGCCTCCCAAATACTCTTTAGACATTGTCATGCTGTGTTTCTATAACTGAGAAAAAGTTGTAAATGTTAGCCAATACATGTGTTATTTGGCTTTACCATGAGTAATCTTAAGTGTCATTTTGTCCCTCCTGCAACATAAATAAAATTATAATGACAAATATTTGTTTAGATCATGGAAATCAGGCTTAGCGTGTGATATAGAAGGATCTCAAAGGTGGGATGACTTTATTTTTGGGAGTTCCCCATTGTTTAAGAATGTAGCCCTATTGTACTTCTTCCTGTCAGATGGTCTTGTGGTAGAGTGAATTACATAGTAAAGTCTACTCGGTTCAGGTCATAACTCCCCTCTTTATTAGTTCTTTCAAGTTGTGCAATTCTCTCATCTTAAACATAAGAAGCAGCATTCATATGCTTTACTAGTATTATGGAGATTTAAAAAATACTATGTATCTAGAGTGCTTGAATAGTGCCTGTCATTACATAAGCAGTATAAAAGGGTGAACTACTATTTTAATCAACACTGCAGTTATTTTCATCATTGTTTATCTTACTTCAAGAAGAAATTATATATACAAACAAAGAAATTCAAAGTTTTAGGGCATGTATCGTTTGACAAAAGGTGTTGAGTTTATTGGGCTTTTTTCTTAAATGTTTTATTGTGACTTATGTGATAGTTTACATGGGAGAACATTGGTTTTGCATTCATTCTATCATATATCGTCTCATTGCCATAGTTACAATCCCCTCCATGC